TGCTATGTGCAGCAGCTGTGGTGGAGGAGTCTGCTGGTGCGATGCGGACAGGCGCAGGAAGCGGGGTGAGAGCATTACTGTCTCTAAAGAAGCAACGAGACGCACTTGAGTCAAGGATAAAGGAAAAGGCCGCCACAGAAGGGGCAAGGGAGGAGTCTAGGGGACACGTAGTAGAGGCTCCTAGACCAGACACAATGGTGGGACCTAGACCCCTAGGCCCCAAGGCTCTCGGTCCTCCAGAGAAAACACACTGGCCCCAGAATAGTGACCGCCCCGTGGCCACACCTCCAGAGCCTCCACCTCGCCCAGCACCCCCAAGTCCCCATTGCGGCTGCTCGCTGCTGCTGCCGCTGCTACTGCGGTTGCGGCACTGGCCAGAGAGCCTGGAAGCAGACGTCGAGGTCCTGGAGCCAGAAGCCAAGAAGGTCACTTATGTGATCCTCTAGGAGCGTGCAGTCTAGGTGCGGGCTCACCAGAAGTAGGCGGTGAGTGAGAAATCGTAGAGTGGAGGGAAGTGCCCGACGGTCTGGCCGAGGGACTGACCCAATCGAGGCCATCATGTTGAGAGGAGAGGCTTTGAGGAACTCTAGAAATGAGGAGGAGACTAGTGGGAGGCACTAGGTGCTGAGGTAGTAGCAATGGCGGCTTTGGCCGGAGTAGTGGGAGCGAGCAGGAGGCTAGTAGTAGATGCGACTAGCGGTGGGTTGACGGTAGCAGGAGCGAGTGACAGTAAGACGGCAATGGCACTAGCTGACGGCGGGCTGGTAGCAAGAGGCGGCAAGCTGGGATCGGTGGACAGCGGCTTGTGAGCGGCTGGCGGGAGGCTAGGAGCTCCAAAGAGGAGTAGGGAGCAAACGTGGAGGAAGTACGCGCGAGAGGAGCTACTAGGAGCAGCATGCCGAGGAGCTAGCTAGGAGTCACTAGGACTGGCGGCACAGGGCGAATGACAGTCCACAGGGCACAGGGGACTCACTAGGCTGGCGGCCGATTGGCGATTGGCGACTGGCGGCCGACTGGCGACTGGCGGCTGGTGGTTGGCAATGGCCGCGAGTGGTGGCAGCTGGCGGCTGACGGCTGGGGGTCGGCGGCTGGTTGCCGGCGGTCGGCTGCTGGCGGCTGGTGACTGGTGCTGGCTGCTGGTGGCCAGGCTGGTGGAGGCTTAAGCTGACGGTTGGCAATAGCAGTGGCGACAGGAGTGGCAGTGGCAGCGGCGGGAGCGGCACCTGCGAGGGAAGTGGCGGCAATGGTGGCAGTGGCGACTGCTAGGGCAGCGGCGGCAGTGACAGCTGCACGGGCGGCGGCGGCAGTGGCGGCTGCAGCTGGCGATTGCAGCGGCAGTGGCAGTGGCGGCAGCGACAGAGGCTGCAGCAGCTGCGGCAGCGCAAGCGGCGGCAGCGGCAGCGGCAGCGGCAGCAGCGGCAGCGCAAGCGGCGGCAGCAGCAGCGGCAGTGGCGGCAGCAGCTGCAGCAGTGGCAGCGGCGGCAGTGGCGGCTGCAAGGGCTGCGGCGGCAGTGACGGCGGCAAGGGCAGTGGCGGCAGTGGCGGTTGTAAGGGCAGCAGCGACTGCACGGGCAGCGGGGGCAGTGGCGGCTGCAGCTGGCGGCTGCAGCGGCAGAGGTGGCAGCGACAGTGGTGGCAGCTGCAATGGCAGCAGCGGCAGTGGCGGTAGCAACTGCAGGAGTGGCAGTGGCGGCAGCGCAGCTGCAGCGGCAGTGGCGGCAGCAGCTGCAGCAGTGGTAGCAGCGGCAGTGTGGGCTGCTGCTGTGGCAGCGACAGTGGCTGCAGAAGTTGCGGCAGTGGCTGCAGCGGTTGCCGCAGTAGTTGCAGCAGTTGCGGTAGTGGCTGCAGCGGTTTCGGCAGAGGCAGTGGCAGCAGTAGTGGCGGTAGTGGCAGTTGCAGCAGTAGTGGCAGCAGCGGCAATGGCACCGGCAGCAGCAGTGGCGGCTGCAGTGGCGGCGGCTGTTTGGCGACTAGCTGGCAGCAGTGGCTGGCACAGCAGTTAGCTGGCAGCAGTGGCTGGCACAGCAGTGAGCTGGCCAGTGACGAGCTGGCAGGCGCTGCTGGCGAGTAGCTGGCAGCAGGTGCTGGCGGCGAGCTGGCGGAAGCTGCTGGCAGCTAGCTGGCTGGCGCTGCTGATGGCAAGCTGGCAGTACGCTGGCTAATGCGGCTGGCGAGCTAGCTGGCTAACGCGCCGGCTAGCTGGCTGGTGCGTTGGCTGACGTGCTGGCTAGCACGCTGGCGGGCGTGCTGGCTAGTGTGCTGGCCGGAGCATTGGCTGGCGCGTCGGCTAGCATGCTGGCTAGCGTGCTGGCTGGCGTGCTGGCGAGCGTGCTGGTTAGCACGAATGTTAAAACAGCGCGAATGCTAGGGGGGGTGGGAGGGGGAGTCGAGGCTTGGAGCGTGAAATAGGAGAGCAGGAGGTGCGAGAAATTGAGAGAGGCACATGTGCGGGAAAAAAAAAAAAAAAAAAAAAAAAAAAAAAAAAAACCTACAGTGACTTCGGAAGCGTGAGTAATGGCGAAAGCGTGAGTAACGATGGGAAAAAAAAAAAAAAAAAAAAAAAAAAAAAACAACAACAACAACTACCTAGCTCAATACCATGTTAGAGTAGCGGGAAAAGGTGTGACTAAGAAGAGGGGAGGGGAGATACCAGTATAAGAAGCTGTCCCCTCTAAGAACTGGCCTAGCTAGGCTATAACAAATATATCTAAACCAACTAGATATGTGTGGACAGAACAATATGTTTGTTGGCAAAAACTTCCGCGAAATGGTGGAGCCGTCGTCGCCTAACGCCATGACTGCAGAAGAAAGGGCGGTAGCACTCGAGAAAGTGCTTCTTACTAACGAGTTGTACCAGCAGGAGCTGGCGCGTCTGCGAGCTGAAACAACTCAAGCTAAATCTGAAGTATCTGCACTACAAAGCCGGATGCACCAGACATGACACACCATGACCCCGCCAACAACAAAACAATAACAATAGGAGCAAGATACTCATTAGCGTTCCGAAATACTTGGCGACAATCAGCAGCCACATGCACCTTCGCTAGTGGGCTCGAAGAACAACCTGCTACCGATCATTGGACGAGCAGAACTTGGCAAATGGGCGAATGTCAAACCGCCGCCCCAGATTACCTCTCACGCCGGCCTGCAAACTGCAAATATCAACATGGCGTTGGGAATTCTCAAGACCCTGAGGCTGCCCACGTTTGACCCAAGCCAGCGTGGCAGTTTTTCGGTCATCGGATGGATTTTCCATCTGAACATTTTTTACGACTGCAACCTTGTCATCGAAGATTCGCATAAAAATGGGTACGTCATTTCACTCCTACGTGGATCGGCGATGGATTGGTGGCAACATATAATACAGTAGCAGGAGCCGGATACGACGCTACACATGATCGGGCGCGTTTTCGCATAACCAATAACTTGGCATGAAGTTTTTGCGAGGTGGACGAGTACAGCACGTGACAATCGTGGTGGGCGGGAATTCGTCGCCGCTTCAAACACGTCAATGCAATCAGTCACGCGCGCGACCGCCTTCGCACGTGGCGCCAACTCGGTCCAGGATGACACCGGCAACTTCAAGAACCTATGTATCCAGGTCGGCTACATTCACCCTTACAAAATGTTCGACATATAAATCGGGGGACTTCGACCGGATCTGCGCCGAGAACTACAGGTGCGAGAAATCGCGGATTTGATGGAGACGCAGAGGGTTGCAGAGCAATTTTGATTTGTTCTACAAACCAAGGGCAGGTTCCTACGACGGAAATCGCACTCGAGGACCGTTAGAGCGTGCCACTGTACACGCTGTTACAACCTCAAACTCAGAAGTTACAACCTTGAAGAGTCGCTGTTTCGGGTGTAACAGGCTGGGACACGACAATAAGAATGCCCAGAGGAGTGAAAAAAATGGAGCCACGGGAAGGGGAGTTCCAGCGATCTGGGAAATGCTTAGTGTCAGTAGTTAAAGTGTCTACTACTGATGGAACCTGCTCGCACGTAACCGATGACCATCATCGAGTTCTAGTACCGATTCACGCAATCGACCAAGCTCGGCTGAATAAGGAGGGTGCACCTGCATATTACCACATACATTTAGAGGGTAGGGTTCAAGGGAAAAGTATCAAAATCTTTGTGGACAGAGGTGCCAACCAGAACCTCATCAACCTCTATCACGGCAAAAAAAATATAAAAAAAAGTGCCCCTAGATAGGTGTCTGTCGGAGATCGACGCCCGACTAATCGACGGGACCCCACTTGCAACAAAAGACTGGTAGAACAGATTAGGGTAAGGTGTGGAGCTGACTTCATCTTTTTGATGGGGATGCTGACAACTATACTCAACGGCTTCGACATGCTGCTAGGACGGGATTGGCTGCGTCGTTTCAACCCCATGATAGATTGAACGACCGACAGTTGTTCTGTGAAAATCAACAGCCGTAGTGTAGTGTTACCAGAATGGACGAAGGAGATTATATGGGGAGTGACGTGGGTGAACTCCGTGGTGATAAAACGAGCAGTTGCACGGGGAGCAGAAGTCTTAGTCGTTCATGCGGTCGACGTGGCATTGCAGTCGTCCGATTTAGAGAAGCTGACGGCGGCAGTGCCAGCCGACCTCGCGCAACAGATTCATAGATTTCTAGAAATATTTCCAGACGACCTGCCCGAGGGTTTACCACCGGAACGACCCTTCGACCATCGAATCGAATTATACCCAGGGACACATCCCACAAAACAGCGGCGATTTCGACCAACACAGCCGGAATTAGAGGAATTACGGAAGCAACTGGAGTACGTATTCGAGAAGAACTTAATCCGCCTGAGCTCATCCCTATTTGCCAGCCCATACTGTTCACCCCCAAGAAGGAATGCAGGTACCGAATATGCACCGTTTACCGAGAACTGAACCGAGTGACTATCAAGTCATGTCACCCCATCACGCACGCCGACGAAGTGATCGATCAACTCTGTACAGCGCACTTCTTCTCTTAAAGCCGTTGACCCAAATTGCAGAAATTTTGTTTCAAGTTTATTAATCTTGAAACTGCCCTTCTGGTAACCCAGTTCCGCAAAACGAGAGGGAAAACTAAGATCGCGCACCAAAAAGACGGGAAACATGTGATAGGCGTGCGCCACCCCCAGCCAATTCCGCCCCTGCCCCCGATACACCAGGCGTTTGAGCAGAAAGAAACTTGAAACTTGCGCTCATACATTTTGGGACTTTTGAAGTGCAACCCAGCCCAGCGCCACCACGCCTAAGGGCGTGGTACTTCTGCAAAAACTGGGTCAAGTTGCGCAGCGCAGGAAACACAGTTTGCGAAGTGCCTGAAACGATAGCGAATTGTTTGTTACTAGATTCCCCGCACCAAATCTAGTTTCGCGTTTCGATTTGCATTTTTCGTGCGAGCGGCGTGAAAATACCAATGTTCTTTACAACAGTTGATATGCGTGCGCCACCCCACCCCAAAGTTGTTTGGCGAAAATTGCCAAGTCAAGTTACCCACACGAGTTGCGCAGCAGGGTCAAATGCACAGCCCAAATCTCGCCAAAAGCACCACGTCCTTATGTGTGCCTTCCTATTGTTCGCTGTTCATCACCCCTCCCACACTCCCACTCTCTCCCTCCTTCCCCCCCCCCTCCCCCCCCCCCACCCCCCCAACCAACTTCCCGCACCCAGTGCGCCCCTCCTTTCCCTTTTCCGTCCCACCCTCCCCTTTTGTCCTTTTATATTGGCGGTGTTTTGCGTGCTCGGTTTGTTTGCGCCCTGATTGGTTCATGAGGTTTCGTCAAGAGTGTTTTTGTTGCGCATGGTGTTGCGACGCTCGCTCGTTGGCGAAAACCACTCGCCACCTCGCACCACTGCCCTACGCCCCTGCGCACTGCCGTGTCCAACTTTTTGCCCCTATCATGTTTATTAATCTTGCACGTTTTGGGTCAACGGCTTTAAATATACGGGGGTTACCACCAGATTCGCCTTTAAAGGATAGGTTTGAATTTTTAGGTCATGTCATTTCCACTAAGGGCATCGACGTGGACACACGCAAGATCGAGACTGTGCAAGCCAAGCTACCGCATTCGAACCTGCAAGAGCTGCAAAGTTTTTTAGGGTTCGTAAATTACTGTATGTTTGGAGGTTCATTCCGAATATGGTAAGGGTAACTGCACCGTTGACTGACCTGTTGCAAAAGGGACTGAGTATAGGTGGGGTGTAAAAGAGCAAGCTGCCTTCTCTGTGCTAATAACTTTTCTATGCTCAGCCCCTGTCCTTTGCATCGCCTATCCTCACCGTCCGTTTGAAGTTATCACAGACGTCAGCAACATTGGCATCGGAGCAGTACTGTTACACGACTTTGGCGAGGGTCTAAAGCCAATCATGTACGAGTCACGAAAGTTACACCGGCCCGAGCCAAACTATCTGATACACGACAAGGAGGTGCCCGCGATCGTGCACGCCTTCAAAGTGTGGTGGTGCTACCTGACGGGCGCGGACGTAATAGTACTGGCAGCCCATCGTAGCCTACAGTACATTCGTGCACAGCCACTACTCAACCCACTACAGATTCGATAGTTGGATTTTATGGAATCCAGTTTCCACTGCACCGTCACCTAAAAAAAAAAAGGGTATCCAACATCGCAGGCCCTTTTCTTGCCCAATCATCATCGCCCAAACTTCCCTGCTATTAACAGACAGATTTACCCACGGGTACCAGACGGACTGACTCTGTACGAATAGCTCGCAACGGCGAAGGGAGATTTTTATATAAAGACATGGACTGATCGCATCTGGGTACCAGAGTACAGCCTATTACGAGAGTTATTTCTAAAGGAAGCCCATGATAGTACAGTTTCAGGGCACTTCGGAGTGGAAAAAATACGGCAACAGTTGACCATAGATTATTTCTGGCCCGACATGCAAGGAGACATGCAGCGGTATGTGATTTTGTGCAGAACCTGCCAAACCATAAAGTCGTCGAAGCAAAATCCGGCGGGACATCTGCAGCCGATTCCGCCACCTGAGCGTGCATGGTAGCACGTGATGATGGATTTTGTGACGGAACTGCCCGCCAAGGACGGCTGCAATTACGCGATATTTGTCGTCGTCGACAAGCTGACTAAGATGGCTCATTTTGCCGCCTGCAAGAAAGGCATCTCAACCAAATAAACAGCCCGCATCTTCATCTGGACCGTTGTTTGAATCCACGAAATCCCATCCGCCATCATTTCCTATCGTGACACAAAATTCACCAGCAACATCTGGCGCAACCTTTGGGACCAATTTGGCACGCGCCTACAGTCATCGTGTGCCTATCACCACGAGACTGACGGACAGACCAAACGAGCCAATCAGACCATGGGGCAGCTAATTCGCGCCACCTGCGATGATGTGGCTGACTAGGAGCAATAGCTGCCACTTGTTGAGTTTGCGTATATCAATGCCCCGTCAGCCACTACCCAACAATCACCATTCTACCCAAATTATAGACAAGAACCCACAGTACCCATCACGCCCAACATCGACAATCCCGTACGCCGAGCCCAACAGTAGGAAGAAATATTACATAATGCCCGGGAGCAAGCAGCAAAAGCCATTAAGCGAGCGAACGTTACTTCTACATGTAACGCAGAAGTACACCGACGGGCAGTACTTACCAAGCAGGAGACTCAGTACCCCCCCAGCCCTCCCACACCCCTTCCGCAGCCCTTCCGAGCACCGCGCTAGCGACGAGCTTTCTCTTCGCTCACTAGCTCTGGCTCTGATTGGTTGGTTCCTTAGGGGATGTGATGGCGAAGAATTCTCAAGTCGAGTCAGCCACTACCCAACAATCACCATTCTACCCAAATTACAGACAAAAACCCACAGTACCCATCATGCCCAACGTCGACAATCCCGTACCCCGAGCCCAACAGTAGGCAGAAATATTACAGAATGCCCGGGAGCGAGCAGCAGAAGCCATTAAGCGCGCGAACGTTACTTTTACATGTAATGCAGAAGTACATCGACGGGCAGTGACTTACCAAGCAGGAGACTTAGTACCCCTGCCAGCCCTCCCGCACCCCTTCCGCAGCCCTTCCGAGCACCTCGTTAGCGACTAGCTTCCTTTTCGCTCACTAGCTCTGGCTCTGATTGGTTGATTCCGTAGGGGATGTGATGGCGAAAAATTCTCGCGTCGTTTCCACCAAATCTATCCATACGACCCGCTCTGGAGAATGATCCGTTCGATCACATATTCAAGGAGCTACATCTTGGTGCCGTCAAATATGTTTTCCGTAAATGTACTTTAATAAGCCCATAGGCTTATAAAATTTATTCGATTAAAAGCTCATTTAGATTTTCAAGGGGTTCCCCTACAAGCACATTTGCACCTACATTTGGGGGATTACGGTAGCCTTGAGACCACCTGAGTATCTCCACGTCGTTAGCCCATGACGCGTCTGTATGTCCAGTGAGCACCGCTGGCTCTCGTTCTTCTAGCACAAGCCCCAGTCGTGAGGTGCGCGCCAGATTCCGCAGTACCCTCTTGGCAGCCGACCAGTGAACTGGTTGGTGCTTGCCTGTCGCAACAAACGAGCGAGGAGTCTGAGATGGTACGCTAGGTCTGGTCGAGTATAGGTCATCAGGTACATGAGGCACCCCACCAGCTCTGCGCATGGATCATAGCCTCGATCGGCTTAGTCGGGACAGGAGCAGAGAGCTTGTAATCCACAGGCAAAGGGGTGGGCTGTGCTGAGGAGAATTGGAGACTGGACCTCAGAAGGATTCGCTGCACCATATGGGACTGGGAGAGTGTGATCGTGCGAGCAGCATGGCCACGAGGGATCTCCAAGCCCAGATAGCACCTCAGCTCCCCCAAGTCTGTACAAGTATGTCTCCTAAGTAACTCGGCCTTCACTGAGGCTAGTGTGACTCTGTCAGGAGTAGCAAAGATAAGTTCGTCTACATACACTAGAATGTAGAACGGTGTCTGACCTGTGCGAACAAAGAGAGAGGGGACAGCAGGAGGGTATGGAACGGATCTACGCGACCAATGTGTCGCATCCTTGTTCAATCCTGACGAAGTTCCGACTGGTACACCGAAATTCCTTGTCGTATTGGCCAACTGAATGCTGGTGTACTGGCCAACGCGTTCAATGTGCCGTCCGTTAAAGCCTGAGTCCCAAGTTGCGAGGCCGAGAGTCTCAGAAACTTGCTACGCGGTAGGTTGATTTTTTTTTGTTTTGATTGGTGGATGAGAATACAACATCACGAATTGTATGTGGCAAGAGAAGTTTGGTTTACGGGGGGAAGAAGGGGGTGGGAGATTTGATGAGGCACGATGACATTTCTGCGTTGGCCAATGGGGTATTAGCTTTTAAAAAGCTCACAATATTCGCCGATCAAAGTGTAACAACTAGGTATCTAGACTAGCTACAATGCCTATGCCCGAACCTCTCTAGACCGCAACTTGCAAATTGAGACTCGGGCTTTAAAGTCCGATCGACATGTTGCATATTAGTACAGTTAAGGCAACTAGGGCGGCATGATGTGATTGGACGACGACGAAGTATGGTGACGAAGTTTGTTTTCGAAGGTTGGGCTTCACAAAGCGAGGTTTTGTTTTGCGCCAGCTTACGGGGCTCACAACTTGGCAGAGATGCCAAGTTTGGTGGCTCTTACTCTGGCAGTGAGCCACCTCGCCAACGCTGCCAAGTATGTAGGATTGGGACTGGTTGGCTGTTAAAAAAACAGCCCCTAACCTTGACCATGTTTTAAATTTATATGTTAGGTTGCCACATATACATTTCAGAAAAAAATGCAAACCGAAACAGATGAATCACATGAACATTTTGAGTGAACCCACCCAAACTCTGAACGAAGAATACATGTTTATACTCCTCGCCCAATCTAGACCGTTTCTCCCCTCGAAGTGATCTTGGCAAGTCTGCATTGCTTGGAAACTCTCTATGAGCCCCTAGCAGTTTGATGAGTGCTGCTTGGTTACGGGGGGCTCAAGGTGCAGAACATTGAGAAAATGGGACTTACAACCTGCCAGTAGGGCTTTTAGGGGCCCGCAACATTGCAGCTTGGAAATTATTTGAGTGCCTTTGCCAATTTGTCGAGTGCCGCTCGGTTACGGGGGCCTCAATGTGCAGCACCTTAAGAAAAGAGAACTTGAAACCTGCCAGTTTGGCTTTTAGGGGCCCACAACACTGCAGCTTGGAAATTATTTGAGAGCCTTTGGCAGTTTGTTTAGTGCCGCTCGGTTGCGGGGGCCTCAATTGATATGAATTAATAAGAACAATAACATGTAGTATAATAAAGGAGTCGTGATTCAAGAGTGTCGATACAAATGAGGGCCTAGGCACTTATAGGCACGAACAGGGCTAGCCGAGAACCACACGAACATGTTGGGGCGGTTCGGTTGGCGAAAGCTACGGAAGTGCCACATGTCGAGGTTTGGGTTCACAAAGTGGTTCGGGACCGAAGAAGTTGGCCGAGCATGGACTTCCGAGAGTGGAGGGCGTACGCGCTGTCATCGAGCCCGGTAAGGAAAAAGGAATTTTCTTACATCAATATGCAGCACCTTGAGTCGGGCTTTACTTCTCAAAAGGAGCAATGATTTATTCCTCTGTTCAGATGTACATCTTTTCTCCTCTATTGTCCCACCCGTAACAGTCCAAATTGCAATCTCACCTACCAGGTTCTCAGCATGACTCGCGTTGACACTGAACCTGATTGGCTGCAGTCTGAACGATAGCGAAATACCAAGTTGTATTTCGACAATTGCGAGATTCAGAGCTAGGGCGTCACGCTGGCAATTAATCTAGTGCATGAGCGAGATTTTGTAACCAAGTGTCATTTCTTACTGTGGGATTTCCCTTCAAAGTCCCGTTTGCCCGTGTTTTACAATTTCCTGCTTACAGACTCGAGCCGCGTGCAAAAACCGTGAGACTAACTAGAAGAACAGGTGTATGCCGAGTCTGAACAGACTCTTATGGGAGAGTGACACATCTGCAGCATCCTTGTTCCCAGCTTTCGGGTAGCTAGGACGCGGTGCAGCCGTATTTAACCGAGTCCAGACTGTGCAGGTTACGGAAATCGTTGATATCGTATAGCTGTCGGGAATATAAATTGCTGTGTTCGCGAAATGGGTCCGGACTTTCGTCCAGACTTTTGTTTCGCAAGGTACGGCTGCACCACGCCCGGTACCGCACCGTAAAACATGTCCATTCCAGTTGCCTTCCCATTCCCATCCCATTCCACCCCGAGTTTCGGGAGGTTGGTGGGTACGTGCGACCATTCCAAATCGACGATTCAGCTGACCACCCCAGGAGGCCAGTCACTACAGTACAAGGCCGTCAATTCCTCGGAGAATCAAATTGTGATTCCGTGTCGCAGCGGCGCGCTGAGAGGAAGATGCCAGCACCGCATGGAGTCAGTTTGGGCCCACCCTCGTCTCCAGTGACGCAGAACCACGTCACCTCTGAGCCGTTGCTGGCCCCAGCGCAGCCATACCTCAACCAACCACCCCATCGCCTCGTCCACTCATTTCCTCCAACGGCTGGGATGGAAGGGAAGCACATTCGGTTCAGTAGCGTGTTCGCTCAACGCTGGTGCTTCGGTCAAAGTCACTCCCCTTCACTACGTCTGCTCCATCTCCGAACTCCCCTGAAAGGCAGACAAATTGTTGCCAGTGTTGCCTTTGGCAGTGTAGCGCGATGGTGGTGAGGTGTTTTTGTTGCTATCCTGCGTGAATTATGTGGCAGTATAGACGATCTGTAGTTGACACAACATTTTTTTAGTCCTCTTAGCGTTCTGGAGGTGAATTGGTACAATCTAGTTGTTGCAGGCAGTCACCTCTGCTGTGTGTGTTGTGAATTGCCATTGCTGCACCACCGTGCTTGCGCCGGCGTATATCCATCCTCGTCGATTGCTCGCCGTCGTCGCGCTGCTCGCTGTTCGGTGCGTCTCTGTGTGTGTGTCCACGAGCGCGCTCACCGGCGAGGCGATGGAGTCGTTGCATGCGCACGTGACCGCTACCGAGACGGACATGCTGGCCAGCGTTGTGGCTCCGGCTCCTCTCACCCCGCCTCCACTATCAGCTCCCACAGCCGCGAAGTGGCAGGTCCGCATGCTCCGCCTTACATGGCCGTCTCCCCACCTCTTATTCCGCTGACTCCTGCGTCGAATACTTCGCCATATCGAGTCCTGTATCAGCCGTCTCTGCCCCCGCTTCTGCGTTTTCCTTTCCTTCCCCGCAAACCCCGCCCTGATGACAGCTGCCGGCACCGTTGCTCCGTTGCGGATATCTCAATCGCTATCGTCCATGGTATTACCCTTCAACCCTTTTCGTCTCCTTGCGCTCTCACACTTGCTGCTGGCTCGTTTGGCTTCGCATGTCACTGGATCTCGCTTATCCTTGTCCAAGTGTTCCCTCCCTTACCGCTTGCTTGTTGGTTCTTTTCTCGGTCGCAGGGCAAGGGTGTGGGAGCGAACATGGCACCGCCGCTACTTTGTGTGAGCATGTCTTCCAGGCGTTTCTGTTGCTGTGCCCTTGAAACCTTCGCCACGCATTCTTGCCATGCGCTGCTGTGTGGAGCGTTATTGTTCTCGTGTGTCGCTCTCGCGATTGTGTGTTTTGGGCGGCAGGGTGGCGGGCGACCTGTTGATGGCGTGGGAGTCGGAGCGGGACACGGAGCATCGCCCCGAGGAGGCCGTGCTGCTGCACTCGTGCGTAGTGGCGCTCGAGGGCGCCAAGCCCGATGGCTTCAGCGCCACCAATTTCTTCATCTTCCGCCTTGGTGCGCGCCTGCGCGCTGCGCTCTCTTCGTGAAGCCTGTCGCCCCGATTCTGTCTTGCTCCTCTCAGCTTGTCGTGCTGGCTTGCAGTGCTGGCAAGGCGTGTGCATATGACTGGCTTCACGTTTTCGTGTTTGCAATTGTTTGCTGTGTGCCAGAGGACTCTCAGGGCAACATGCTGCTCCGATTGAGCTCCAGAGACGAAGCAGAGGTTCACAACTGGATGCTTGCTTTGCAGGTAACCGCGCCTTGCAGGTGATTTAGCTTTGCAAGTAAACTTGCCTTGCAGGTATTGTTGCCTTGCAGCAGCGATGCGTGCCTGGGGTCCATGGAGTTCATGCAGTGCATGCGCTGCTCCCTTTGTGTTGTGCCTGCTCCTCTCGCTGCCGCCACGTGCAGTCTGCAGGGTGCTGTGCGCCCACGTCGTCGTGCACCGCGCCGCACCCGCATCACCACCACGCCACAGCCGTTACAAAGGGAATGGCGGGGCAGTTGAGGGCAGAGGAGGTGGGGGAGGCGTCAGAGGCGTCGGGGGGCGAGGTGACGAGCAGCAGCACGTCCGTTGAGCGCGCTGACAGCTTTGCTGCTTCGCTGCGCCGCGGCCTGCTGCACGGCGCTCCGCATGGCAGGGAGGGCGCATGGTCCGCGGGGGTGGGCGAGGTTTGGTTGCAGCAGGGGGCGGTGGGCGGCGGCAGCCACAGTGAAGGGGAGGGTGTGCGCAGGAGGAAGGGCAGGGACGAGGGGGAGAGCAGGAGCTCGTGCGGGCATGAGCATGAGCATGGGCGTGGGGGGGTAGGGGAGGAGGGTGAGCGGCGAGTAAGAAAAGCTGGAGAGCGAAGGGGGGTGCCATGGGTGTGCGCACCGGCGCACAAGCACGTGAGGGAGAGTCCTCTGAGCTCTGTGGCCATCTTCCAGCAGGTCAGTCCCACGCCGCCTCTCCCTGCACCCCTGCTCTGCGTCACTGCCCGCTGTCCTTGCCTGCTACACAACGCACCAACCACTAACACACGCTATGGTTACCGTTTCACTGGCTTACGCACATAGCTTAGGCTATCTCTCCCCCCCTACCCCTGCCACCACTGTGGTGCGGTGTGCGCAGAGCCACGCGGGTCTGTTCAACCTGTGCATCGTGCTGCTGGTGGCGGTGAACAGCCGCCTCATCATCGAGAACCTCATGAAGGTCACCCCCCTCCTACCTTGCTGCACGCGCTCCTGCGCTGCTCTGCACTGTCTATGGTGTCGGAAATCGTGTGTGAGGTGCATGGTGCTGCGTTTGTGAGTAGCCCTGGGTGGGTCCCCTCGTTGTCTGCCCACCGCCACTCCTATGTCCGTCCCGTGGTGTGGCGTGCATTGTGTCTCGTGCGCTGCAAGAGCCACATGTGCGTCATCTCACGTCTCAACCATGTCCACGCCCCTGCCGTTTCGCCTGTGTGCTGCGCAGTACGGCATCCTGGCTCGCTCCAGCTTCTGGCTCTCCAGCAGCTCGCTGCGCGAGTGGCCTCTGCTCATGTGCGGGTCAGTCACGCCAACCTCCCCGCCCTGCCGCTGCTCTCTGATCTCCTCGTGGCTGTCATCACACTGCCGACCCACTTTCTTCCTTCTCCTTGTCCCCTTTTCTCCCATTTTTTGTCTTCCCACTTTCTCTCCCTCTATTTCTCCTGTCTCCGCTCAGTCTCTTTCTATTCCTCTCTACCTCCCCCCCTTTGTCTTTCTCGCTCTCACTGCCCTCTTCCCCTCTCTGCCGTGCCTTGCAATACAACTGTCTGTTTGCTCTCAGGCTGAGTCTGGCAGCGTTTCCCCTGGTGGCGCTGTGCATTGAGAAGCTGCGCGCACACGGCTACATCACTGAACAGGTGCTGCGCCTCTGCTCCCCGCCCCCTCTTATGCCCTCTCGCACTGCTGCAACAGCCACTCGTGTGCTCCACGGCTATCAATGTGTGCAGTTTAAATTGCTTGCCCCCTGCCGTGTGCCTCCCTTGCAGGTCACGGTGTTTCTGCACATTGTCAACATTGCAGGAGAGTTCTTCTACCCAGCTATTGTCATAAACAGGCATGTAGCCCAAGGGCCTGGTGGCATTGCTATCATCTATACGTCGGCATTGTGTGTTCTGTATGGTGCGTCCCAAGCACCACCGTAACCAGCGCATGGTGCTGTATTCCGTGCAGGGTGCATTCTCAGCCCTTAGGTGGCTTCTTGCTGATATTCGTGGCGGTGACGGTGTTCATGAAGCTCATCTCGTACGCGCACACACTGCATGACGTGCGCAAGAAGCTGTCCGAAGGCCATCACGTGCGTACAAACTCCTGCCACACCATGCCTACATCTTGCTGCTCGCACTTTGTACATGCCACTTGCTGCTTCCTGTGCTGCCAAGAGTCCACCTCTGCCACCCATACATACAGCAAGCACTTGCCTCTACCGTATTCCTCCCTTTCTCACTAGCCTAAATAGTGTAGTCCCCGTTTCCATCAGCCACCAATGTTTTTCCCTTGTACACTGCAGCTGCTGCATGCAGCAGGGGCGCCAGTGGTGCAGTATCCTTTCAACCTCACAGTGGGCAACCTCTGCTACTTCATGGCGGCGCCCACCCTCTGCTACCAGGTACTGCTACCTACCCAGCCAACCGTTGCTCTCATGCTCCCGTGTGCCTGCTTGCATTGCGCCTGCCATACCTGTCTGGGCCTTGTTGTCTCATGGCCGCTGTCTGACTGCGCGTAACTTGACTATCGGCCGTGTTCCGTCCCCCCCCCCCCCCCCACATTCGTGATGTGCTGGCTGGGTGGCAGCTGGGGTATCCTCGAGCGCCGCATGTGCGCAAGGGCTGGCTGCTGCAGCAGGTGCTGAAGCTGCTGGCGTTCACAGGCCTTGTGCTCTTCATCATTGAGCAGGTTCGCCCTTCCTCCACGCACCACCCACTGCACGCTCTACACAAACCCCAATTGCTCTCGCTTGTGTCCGTCCTTCATCCTTCCCCCCTTCAACTATCACGCCTATCATGAATTGCGTGTTTTCTTATTCTTTATTTTTCTTTCCACCTGTGCGTTCTCATGTCACATGCTCAGCTATAAGTGGCTTACTTCTCCTCCCTGCGTCCCTTGGTCCTTGTGTGCGCTGCTTGCCTGTGTGTGCTGCCACAGTACATCAACCCCATAATCAAGAACAGCCAGCACCCCCTCAAGGGCCACTCCCTGTACAGCATAGAACGCGTGCTGAAGCTCTCCATCCCCACTCTCTACGTGTGGCTCGGCATATTCTTCTGCTTCTTCCACCTCTGGTCAGTCCTTGGGGCTCCCATCTACTCTTGCTCTTAACCCTGCCTCCACTTCTCCACTCACCCCTCCTTCCTCCATGCGTTTTGTTTTGCAAATCTTCTCCTTCTGTGGGTGCATGGATGGCAGGCTGAATATCCTGGGCGAGTTGCTGTGCTTTGGGGACAGGGAGTTCTACCGCGACTGGTGGAACGCCAGGACCATTGAGGAGGTGCACTCCCCCCACCTTGTCTCCCTTCCCTTCCATTCGTGGCCATCTTGAGCATGTGCCGTTCCTTCACTGTGCTGCTCAAGCCTTTGCCATTATCAAGCGGCTCTCCAACTCACCATTTTTGCTCACCATTTTTGCTTGCTGGTGTGCATGTGCGTGTGCGCTGCTGCCTATGTGTGCATGTGTGTGTGCGCTGCTGCCTATGTGTGCATGTGTGTGTGCGCTGCTGCCTATGTGTGCATGTGTGTGTGCGCTGCTGCCTATGTGTGCATGTGTGCGTGCGCTGTTGCCTATGTGTGCATGTGTGCATGTGCTGCACTCTTCACGGCATGCAGTACTGGAAGCTGTGGAACATGGTGAGCGCCTCCTTCACAAGTGTGCCTTGCGTCCACCCTCGTTTGCATGCTTCGCCCTCTCCATGTCTGCCATCCTGCATCATTGTGCACATCACATCTCACATCCCTCTGCCGCCGTCGTGCTCCCCTGCCCCCCCCTGTGCTGGCCACCAGCCTGTGCACCGCTGGATGGTGCGCCACATCTACTTCCCCTGCCTCTCCATTGGCCTCACCAAGGTTGCTTCCCCGTCTCCCCTTCCGCTGCCATGCCATGCCGTCCCATGCATTCTTCTCTTGCATAGGCGTTGCAGCACCTTTCAGGCCGCCCTCACCTTGAGCTTAACACAGTGCTAACGTATGGGCTTCACATGTGCTGCTTGCTCCTGTGCATGTGCAGCCGCTGGCAGTGTTTGTGGTGTTCTTCCTCTCGGCTGTCTTCCACGAGGTATGCCACCACCCTCACCCGTCACGTACCTGCCTCCTCCACACCACTCCACTGCACGTGCATGCCCTTTCGCTGCCGTCTCTATGCCCGCTGTTTCCTTCATCTCGCCTGTGCGTGGATGGCAGGTGCTCATTGGGATCCCCTGCCACATGTTCCGCCTCTGGGCGTTCCTTGGCATGATCTTTCAGGCAAGCGCACCGCCATTTCTCCTGCCTTCTCCTCCTCTGTGTGTGCTACAATATCTGCTCATGCTGTGCTCTGCAACTTTTGGTCGGATTGTTGCCTTTCTGTAACATAGCAAGCCATTTCGCGGTGGTCACAATGTAGTTCCATTGCTTGTTTTTTTGGATGAATTTGGCAGGTCCTGATGGTCAGCACCCTTTAAGTGCTATGTTTTTTTTGTTTCCATGCACGCGTTCTCTATTCCACTCATCTCTTCAGATACCACTGGTCTGGATCACCAACTACCTCTACCAGAAGTTTCAAAATCCAATGGTGAGTCTTTTGTGCCCCATGGCTTTGCAGCACTGTGCTCAGTCCACTCATCAGGCTAGTTACCCCCCCATGCATGCTCCTATCACGCGCTCATTTTCTCCCTCCCTCGGTGTTCCTTTCACTAGCTTTGCATCCTCTCTCTTCTGCATTGCCTGTTGTGAGGTTAAGCATTGAAGAATTTATGCTGGCTGCCCCTTGCTTGTTCCAGGTGGGCAACATGCTCTTCTGGTTTTTCTTCTGCATTGTGGGCCAGCCTGCTTGCGTGCTGCTCTACTACCACGATGTGCAAGTCAATTCACAGCAGCAGCTGCACCAAGCCCTCACATCCACTCACTAGCTTGCTAATCTCGTGCTCCTGTGGCTTAAGGATGGTTGCTGCACACCCATAAGCACCCTCATTTCTCAGCCCAAGAGTTTTGCGGAGGGTGGCATACAATGAACAAGACTGGTTTATCGTGTTGGCTATGACTGGTGCCATAAATTCGTGTATATATGTCATTTTTGTACATACCGTATTAGCCCGGATAGAAGAGTCATGGGTCTTATCACATACCGTTTGGAAATAATCAGAAGGGTCTTATAAACGGGAAAAAATAGGTGGAAGTGGGTCTTATAAGCGGAACCATCATAACTTTACAGGAAAACACCAGGAGTAGTTACACCAGACTTCTGGCAAGCGTTTTTATAGGGAAGGCGTCACAAAGGGGGCGCCTTTTTTGGCGGCAATAATGACGGCAGACACGAGTGAAGCAGCAAGGGTGGAACGAGGGTGTGGAGTGAGACCATCCCAGCCATCTATCAAGCTGTGATGTCAGTACCAGGCCCCCCAGAAGTCAGGAAAAATTTCCTGATTCAGGAAAAAAACAGGGTGTTGAGGGGTACCATATCTGATTTGCTAGGGTTTTGTTTTTGGCATATCTGTCAGAAACCCAGCCACTAACCACTGGGTTAAAAGGGCTTGTTGAATAGCGGGTAAGTGCGCCCATAGCCCCCCAGGCTCTGCACCTGTGGCCCTTCCCCGAGGATCTCAAGGGCAACCCCAGCGGGTCACTCAACACCCACCCCCCCCCCCCGGTGGGATAGGTGGAAGACACGAGCGCCTCTGCAGCGCTGGCACTGGGAGTTGAACCCAAGACCTTTGGCTCTGATACCATGTCAGAAACCCAGCCACTTGTCAAACATGTGTATTTGTCATGTTTGTATAGACTGTATAGAGTCACCTCTTAGAGGATACAAAACTTAGATATATTTGTGTGTACTCTCACTTTACCATTATTCAATTATTCTGATATGGTATCACGCGTAGGTAGGATCCCCCCCCCCCCCACCTACCGCTTCCGCTCATGCCCCCTAGCGCCCCTCCTGGGCCCCGTCGCGCTCCTCCCAGGCCCCGTCGCGCTCCTCCCAGGCCCACTAGCGCCCCTCCTGGGCCCCGTCGCGCTCCTCCCAGGTCCCGTAGCGCCCCGTCGCGCCCCTCCTGGGCCCCGTAGCGCCCCTCCTGGGCCTCGTCGCGCCCCTCCTGGGCTTCGTAGCGCCCCTCCTGGGCCCTGTACCGCCCTCCCAGGCCCCGTCGCGCCCCTCCCAGTCCCTCTAGCGCCCCTCCTGGGCCCCGTCGCGCTCCTCCCAGGCCCCGTAGCGCCCCGTCGCGCCCCTCCTGGGCCCTGTAGCGCCCCTCCTGGGCCTCGTCGCGCCCCCTCCTGGGCTTCGTAGCGCCCCTCCTGGGCCCTGTAACGCCCTCCCAGGCCCCGTCGCGCCCCTCCCAGGCCCCGTCGCGCTCCTCCCAGGCCCCCTAGCGCCCCTCCTGGGCCCCGTCGCGCTCCTCCCAGGCCTCGTAGCGCCCCTCCTGGGCTCTTTCGCGCCCCTCCTGGGCCCCGTAGCGCCCCTCCTGGGCCCCGTCGCGCCCTCCTTGGGCCCTGTAGCGCCCCTCCTGGGCCCCGTCGCGCCCCTCCCAGGCCCCGTCGCGCCCCTCCCAGGCCCCGTAGCGCCCCTCCTGGGCCTCGTCGCGCCCCTCCTGGGCTTCGTAGCGCCCCTCCTGGGCTTCGTCGCGCCCCTCCTGGGCTTCGTAGCGCCTCTCCTGGGCCCCCCGTCGTGCCCCTCCTGGGCCCCGTAGCGCCCCTCCTCGGCCGCGTCGTACCCGTCGCCGCCGCCCGGCCCCGTCGTGCCCGCCCGGCGCCGTCGCGCCCGCCCGACCCCGTCGCCGCCGCCCGGCCCCGTCGCGCCCGCCCGGCGCCGTCGCCGCCGCCCGGCCCCGTCGCGCCCGCCCGGCGCCGTCGCACCCTGCCCGGCCCGTCGCGCTCGCCCGGCCCCGTCGCAGCCGCCCGGCCCCGTCGCACCCGCCCGGCCCCGTCGCACCCTGCCCGGCCCCGTCACAGCCGCCCGGCCCCGTCGCACCAGCCCGGCCGCCGTCCCGCTCGCCCGGCCCCGTCGCACCGGCCCGGCCCTGCCGCACTCGCCCGGCCCCGTCGCCCCAGCCCGGCCCCGTCGCGCCCGCTCGGCCCCGTCGCCCCGTCCCGGCCCTGTCGCATCAGCCCGGCCCCGTCGCGCCCGCCCGGCCCCGTCGGGCCAGCCCCGGCCCCGTCCTCCTCACTGGTACGGTTCCCCCCCCCCCCCCCCCCCCCCCACCCCGCCCTGCTCCGTGCCGCCCTGCACCGCACTGCACCGCCCTGTACCGCACAGTACCGCACTGCACCGCACTGCACCGCACTGTATCGCACTGCACCGCACCTCACCTAGCTGCACCGCCCTGCACAGCACTGGACCGTTCCTGATGGCGGCGGAGCTTCGCTTCGACGCTGAAGGTCAGCCCCTAGAGTTCGAGGCGTGGCTTGCCGACCTCCGCCGCCAACTCACTGGCCAGCGGCAGGATGGTGAACCGCTTTCCGCACACCTTGACGGTACGCTCCCCTGCCCAGACCCTCCTGCTATTCTGCCCGCTGACCCCACACCCACTGAGCGTGAGTCTACTGCTGCCACTGCCCGTGCCCGCTCTGTCTGGCTTTCTCGCGATGCTGTCGCCCAGCTTGCCATTAGCAACGCCCTCCCCCCGTCCGAGCGTCCTCGCTTTAGGTCCCTCACTACTGCTCAGGCATACTTAGATGCTGTCATCAAGCGCTATTCCACCCCTCCGGCTGCCTCGGTGGGTCGCCTGATCCTCCCGCTGCTCTTTCCTGACCTTGCTTCGTTCCCCACTGTCTCTGACCTCGCTGCCCACCTGCGCTCGATAGAGGAGACCTGGCGCGCCGCATGCACTGACGCACAGCTTAGAGCCCACCAGCCGCCCATTACCTCTACCCTCTACCTGCTTGCCACCCGCCTCCCTGACCGCCTTGCTGTCGCCCGCGACCGCTTCCTTAGTGTTCACCCCGCAGACCTCACCCTCACTGACTTTGTCGACACCCTGACTGTGATAGAGACCCGTCACCGCTCCATCGCCCAGGCGAGCGGTGTCGTGCCGGTCCCTATCTTTCAGGGTTGTGCCCCCGCTCAGTGTACCTTCTCCGACGGCTCTGCCGCAGTGGCTGAGACTGCTGCTGCAGCGCAGGCCCGTTCTGGGAAGGGCCGCCGCCCCAAGGCTGGGCGCGGCGGAGGGGGCGGCGGGGGTGCGGGCGGGGGTAGTGGTGGGGTCGGGTCGCCTGGTGCTGGAGCGGACGAGGGGACCCTGCCCAGTCCAGCTGAGTCGCCGCCCCTGCAGTTGCAGCAGCCGCAGCAGCCGCCGCAGTCGCAGCCTTCGCAGCAGCCGCAGCAGCCGTCGCAGACGCGGCAGACGAGTGTTCTCCCGCCACGGTGGCCCGGCGCTGGCGGTGGACGGGCGCGTGGTGGTGTGCCGCGTGGTGGCTCTGCCGGCGGGCGTTGTCAGTACCAGATCCAGACCGGTCCTCGCCGCGGTTTCGTTTGCGGTAAGATCGGTCACTCCACTCCCCGCTGCTTTCGTCGCCTGGACGACCTCTTTCGTCAGCGTTTCGGCCCGTCGCCAAACCTCCCGGACTGGCACAGTTTGCTTAGTCGTCAGATTCAGATCTTTGATATGGACATGGATGCCATTGTTTCTGCTCTGCATGTGATGTATGCTGATGACTCTAGTGTGCTTCCGACTTATTACTCACTGTTGCCTAGTGTAGGTGTGCCTAGCTTAGCCTCCCCTGCTGCGTCAGGCGTAGGATCCCCTGCTTTGTGTAGTCTTGGTGCTTCTGCCGTCGTTCCGTCGCCAGACCCCTCGGCTTCGCTCGCACCTCCATGGTCCATGCCGGTGCACCCCATTTTCTGTGGCCGTTCGCTGTGCGCTACGCTTCTCACCAGCTTAACCTGTGGCCGCACCCTCAGCAGCCGCAGGTTTCGCCGACCCGTCTGTGGACTGGGTCTCCTGGTGACGCGTCTGCGTTCCACGTCTGGGGCTGCCTTGCTCACGTCCGTGCCTCCGGCACGGACAAGCTCACTGCCCGCACCCTTCCCTGCGTCTTCCTCGGTTTTCCCCTTGACGCGTCCGACTGGCACTTTTACCACCCGCCGTCTCACCGCTTCTTTCACTCTCGTGACGTCACCTTTGACGAGTCCGTCTCCTACTACCGCCGCTTCCCCCACCGTGGTCCCCCGGTTACCCCCCCCTGTTCCTGGTCACCCCTTCCCCGGTAGTCCCTGCCCCTCCTCCTCCTCCTCCCCGTCCCGCCCCCTCTGGTGTCTCCCATGTCACCCCCCTTCCGTCCGTGGACCCGGTTGAGGAGTCTTCTGACTCTGGTGGCCCTCCGGTGCAGTCCTCGCCGGCCGCCCCTCCCCAGGTGTCCCCTCCCCAGTCCCCTCCTCCGCCGTCCCTGCCGCCACTGCAGCCGTCGCCGTCGCCGCCGCCGCCGCCGCAGTCGCAGCCCCTGTTCGCTGACTCTGGGGGTGCTCGTCCCGGTCGCCCTGAGGGTGGTCCCTCTGGGGGTGCGGGTGTGGAGAGTGCCGGTGGTAGCCGAGGAGCAGCTTGCGGTCCAGGTGTCGCCGTTGTGCCGCCGCAGCAGCAGTCCCCGCCGGTGTCCGCCCTTCGCCTGCTCGGCCTTCCGTCCCCCGACCCTGCGTCGGTTCCTCCCCGACCGTCTCCTCCTCTTCCTGTCTACGGCCCTGTTTTCCCTCCGCCGGACTCGTCCCCGGCCCGTCTCCCCCCTCGTTCCCCTCCTGTGTCCCCTCCCCTGTCTCCTGACCCGACTCCTCCATCGCACGTCTGGTCTCACCGTCCCTCCCGTGCTCGTCCTGCCTCGCCTGTCCTGCGCTCCCACCCTATGTTGCTTCGTTCACACGCGTCTCGTCCTCCCCTTCTGCCGTCACCTCCTCCGTCCTCCCTTGTTGTTGCGCCCCCCCCGCTGTCCGACTACCTTCGTGCCGCTCGTCCTCTCGTTCCTCGGGTCCTTGCCTCTCTCGTTACCGACCCGTCTGTTCCAGTCTCGTGCCTTGACGCTCTTGTCGCTGCTGTCGCTGACTTCGCCTCTACCCGCCGCCTTGACTACGCCACCGCTCTGGTCTCTGACCCTGCCTGTCCTCCGTCTGTCGGGGGTGCTCCTGCCCTTGGCAGTG